GGCCGGCGCCGCTTGCTCAGCCTCCCCATCCAGGGCACAGTGCTGCCTCTCCGGCCGGGACCCAGAGACTCCATGCAGGCAGAGGTTTGGCTTCCCGGTCAACGCACCCTGGGGACTTTCTAAATAATGACTAATAAATACAGATATTTGGAAGGTGACAACTGGAGAAAGGGACTATGCAAAGAAGAGGAGCCTCCAGAGAGCCCGTTGCTCGGGGCAGGACAGCAGACCGATGCTCTGGGGCTCGGCGAGGCCCTGGGAAAAGACGTGGGAGCTCGGCGAGGCATGGCTTGGTCCCCCAGGCTAACGGGGCTGTGTGTGGCACAGCCCCCTCTCGCTGCCTTCCCGCCCCCCGCCGTTATCCTGCCCGCAGCCCGGTTATCTCACCCGGCAGCAGGCCAGACGGCTCTTGCGGCTGGCGCGCCTTGGACGGGCCCGCACACACCCCCCCCCCAGAGTGCTGGGGGGGGCCGCAGCAGGCCCGTGGGTCCCCAGGGATGGGTCCCCAGGGATGGCAGCACCTCGCTTTTGGGGACCGCGGGGCGTGCAAAGCCCTGATAACCCCCCCTTTCCTCTCCTGCTTCTGACCAACTCCACCACGAGAGCCGAGAGGACTGGTCACTGGTGGTATATTTATATGTCGATACAAATAAAACCAAAACAAAACCCAAAAAGTAACAACAACAAAAACGTTTCTCTAAGGAGAGCAAACCAGGAACATTTACAAATATTTCCGGCTCTGGCTTGGATCAAGTTAAGGTCGTACCTAGTGCGCCCCGAGCAGCAGGGGACTCCAGCGAGCTCCTTGCCCCACCCCGGGCCAAAATCCTCCAGATCCTCCTCCCGGGAGCAGAGGTGCCATCTCGCAGCGGGAAACAAGGATGGGGAAGACGAGGCGAGGAAAGGGGGGGATTTGGCGCTGAGCATCCCCCTGCCTCCCGCGGGATGAGCACGCGAGTGGGTACCGGGGCCCAGCGCTGCCCACGAGCAAGGGCAGGAAAAGGGGAAAATAAGGGGGGGACAGGACAGAGCCAGGACCAAACTCACTGCTCCGGGGATCACAGGACGGCGGGGACCTGCCAGAGCTGCTACCACAGGCGCTTGTATATATGTGTCTATAGCACAGGCAGGGCCGGGCACAGCGAGGATACGTTATATACACATGTACGTACGGACACACAGACTTCGGGGCAGGCAAGGCTGAAGCAGGCGCCTCTTCCCAAGCCCCAGGCCAGGGCAGGACTGGAGATGCATCTCCCAGGGCTTCGCAAAGCCCCCCTTCTAGACACAATTTAGATGGTCCCAATGAAAAAATAAAATTAAAAATCCTTCCCTCCAGCCCAAGACAAATGCAAGAAGTGGGTTTGCAGTTTTTTTAAAGGAAAGGTAATCTCCGTCTCTTCCACTTCATCATTTCTGTAGAAGCAAGAAACTTCTTACCATCCCCGCAGAGATCCTTCTCCTGGTCCTGCAGCGAACTTCTTCATACTCAGGACTGCTGACAGCGACTGCAGACGGCGACCTAATGAAACAGAGCCGGAAAAACATTGCATTTACCTTCTCCTCCAAAAAAACCCCTACACAGCCAAAGGCTAACCAAGACCTTCCTTCCTTGAAAATGGTTTAAATGCACATTATGAAGCGCTGAAGATTACTGAGACTTACTTCAGGCTACGCCATGCTGCTCTGCGAGGTGCTGTGAAGCTCCCAGTTGGTGCCAACGGTGAGACACACAGGCCAGACCCCGGGCTGACACAAACCCCCGTCCCCAGCAGCATCCCGGTGACTGCGACAGGATTTGAATCCGTGGGCTGCGTTAGCAGAGCCTTTAACCCCCGTCCTCTCATTTCTCCACGCTGCGCTGAAGCTCACCAGGCAACAGCGCATCGCTTCACCAGCCGAGGGTTTCACCGGCGCTTCTTGGTGCTTCCCGGGATGGACACAGCTCCGAGCTGGGGCAGGGTACCGTGTCGCACCCAGAACGGGGAAATGGGACACCAGCCGCCGCTCCCCCATCTGGGGGAACGCAGAGGGGTTAGACCCTCTCCCCTCCTCCGCCCCGGGCCATGCAGGACCCCCGGTGCCCCCCTGCCAGGCAGCTGCAGCCACGCACCTCCGAGCTGTGGATCTCCAGGATGGTTTTCTTGTAATGGTTGAGGTTCTCCACGCCCAGGTTGGTGATGGTCAGGGCCCCGAAGCACACCTGGAAGTCCTTCTCCAGGGGCCAGTACTGGCCGCACTTTCTCCTGCCCCCCTCCTCCAGCCTGGGAGCAGAAGGACAAGCCTCTGACGTCCCCCTCGCCCTGCCAGGGATGCGTCCTGTGCCACCCAGCCTCGGTCCCCTGGGGATCTCACAGGGACCGGATGGTCGGTCCCTGACACGGTGTCCCCAGGAGGCGGGGTCACTGCAGGGAGCACATCGCCGCCCGCCCAACAGCAAACGCGCTCACTTCGCGAAGAAAACCAGGGCTGCGCCGCCTCCGTGGACACTCACCGGGTCGTCATCACGATCACCAGGACGTTCTGCTCCCACACCATGCGCCAGAAGTCACCGTAGGTGTTTTCCAGAGGCCCTGCGGGGACAGCCCGCGCGTCGGCCCAAAACCTGGCGGGTTTGGGCCAACCCTTTCGCCCAGCAGCGTGGATCCACCAGCCCTGCCCGGAGCCGCCAGCGGTTTGGCCCTCGGGGCCGTACCCTGAGTCCCGATGTAAGCGTTCCTCTGCTTGTAGCCATCCATGAAGCTCGCGTTGATGTAGTTGGTCAGCTGCGAGGACAAGAG